TGAAATGAATAACATGGGAAGGAACATGAAGTAGCTTCATATGATGTTCTAAACAGCCAACCATGGAGCCCATTTCCAAGTTTTGACACTTCCCACTGCTTTTACTGTTTGGTCCATTGCCTTAGCTCAGCCCCCACCCCACCCCCCACTTCCAGCCCAGGTCTGGCCCTGGTTTCCCTACGGTCTCCTTTTTCTTAATTGAACATTCTGTGGGAATGTACATAGAGCTTGTCCTTATAAAATATTTTATTATTTTTGTTTTATCTTACTTTCGCTCGAAAACTTTAAAAACCAGAGTCAAGGAGGACTCATCAGGTGTTACACAGCTTGTCTGCTGTTAGAATGCAGGAAGAACTTTCTGGAATTGGGCTGAATTTTGCTCCATGGTTTGGATAACTGAAATTCGCCAGTGGGAGTAAGGTTCTGAGGGTAGCGGTGCTTTTCTGCTGGATGGGGGAAAGGGCATGGTATGGCTCCCTGCGCCTGGACCCCTACCCCAGTCCCAGGGATGCTGAAGGAACCCAAGACTAGCCTCCTCTCTCTGAGCTATCCCAAAGATCAATGCAAATACAGATTTCCTACTTTTGCCTTAAAGGAATCCACTGAGGAAAAGCAGGGGCCCCCAAGTGAGAACAAAGGTTCCCATGAGCTACTTGCAACCCCGAGAGAAAAAGACTCTTTCTTCTAATACAGCAGTCTATCCACAAATGGGAACAACTAAAACCACAGAAGCCATAGCTCCTTCTCATGAAACCCCAAACAGTGGTGTCTTCGTATTGACCCAGATACTCCAACATTAGAAGTAAAATAAAAAATAAAACCAGTTCCACCAACTCTACCAAGCGCTACAGACATTTTAATTACAAACGTAGTTTGATTGGGGGGCGGACTGCTTCAGTCCAAATCACCTTGAGCAAGTTACCTAACTCCTCTGAGCCCCAGGTTTTCTTATTTATGAAGCTGGTATGGTAACAGGAGATTGACTCGTGAGAATTAAACAAGTTAACCCATGCAGACACTGGTTCTAATACCCGGCACATAGTAAGAGCTCAGAAATGTTAGCTATTACTATTCCTCACCCGCCCCTTGTTCTCTTTTATGCTTACAAGAAAGGTTAACGAGCATGCGTAAAGTTACACATTTCAAATTTCATGCATATTCTGTTATTACTTATTTTACCACCTGGAAAAGCTCAAAAGATTCCATTCTGCCCTTGAAATAAGGACAATTTTCTATATGCGTTAATCAGCGCGAAGGAATCCAAGCCACATGATAGGCTGAATCACAACCTGCAGGAAGACTCGGGATGGGTTTGCGAAAATGGTACACTGAGCAGGGCCCTCTGTGCCACATGTGACATAAATTCCCAGAGCCGAGGGCACCATGACCATACTTTTTCAGCTGATTGTGGTGGAGACGCTGACAAATGAAAAATTATAGAATGCAATCATGTTCAGAAAAGAAGTAAAAGAGGAAATATCGGGCATGGGGGTGACTGAATGTAACGTCTTATAACCATGAGGGCTGCATGTTGATAAAATCAGGGGGCAGACTGGATACTCTCAAAGGACCTTTCAGTCCTAAAGTCCTTCAGCTTTTCTAAAACCTTAATAAGGGACTTAGGAATAAAGGTTGGAGATAGAGGCAGCAAAGGCATTAGCACACTGTCCAGTCTTGTTTTTCCCCTTACAGTGAGTAAAATCTTACCTCTGGACGGAGTGCAGGATTACTTGGAAAAAGTGCATGTCTTTAAAGACATTTTAAAAGTGAGTCACTCTCTTGGCTTAAACTCAAAATAATGTTTCCACATAACAGTATGATACAACTATTTAAAAATGCTATTTACATAAGGTTTACCATAATATTTTAATATAAGTGTTTCCCCTCAATAACCGAAGGAAAAAGGGATACAAAACTGGAGAGTCTGACCTCAACTATGAAAAGAAAAAAAAAGACCTCTAAGCTGCTGACAGCAGCTGTTTTACCATAAAAAATTACTTAAATAACATTTAAAATTGCACCAAATTATATGAAAACTCCGCGAAGTTTTCAGAGAGTTCAGAAGCCACATTTTGTGTGTGTGGAGGTAAAAAACAGCAATTGGCCCTCAACCGATGTTTCCTGCCTCTCATCCAACCAGTGCCCGGCGTCTGTCAAAATGCCTGTCAACTCCTGAAACTGCGGCTGATCCACCTAGGGCTGGGTTTTGTTTTTCGCTGCTCATTAGTACCTCCACTCTGGTGTAAGAAGCCAAGCTCACGTCTATCAATGCTTGGCTTTTCTAACAGTTCTGGTGACAAGTCTGGCAAGGGGGAAGCTTGAAGTTTTTGAATAAAGGGATTTGGGGATTATCTGTGTCTTCCAAATCATCTACACAGTCCTGAGGATCCAGGACTCTGGGTAGAGCCAGGGGCTGCATCTGAGAATCTGCACACAAGATACAAGGGGAGTCTTGGGAATTACTGGGCTGTTCTAAGGAGCCTGGAGGGGCCAAGTCAGCTCAAACTTGTCCCTGGTAACCTCCTCCTGAGGGGACCTGGGGGCAGGGCTTAATTCCCAATAAGTTATCATGCCAGTGAGGTATTCCCTTAGTCAGATGGTTTGCCTTTTCAAGCTGGGGTTCTTTTGGGAGCCTCTAAGACCCTGGACCCACCCCAGAAACATTGGTTCCCACCATCGACCCCAATAGCAACATGCTAACCACTCCCCCCTCAGAGAACTCTCAGGGAGCAGTTGCCCTTGCCTGGGCAGAGGTTACAAGGTCATGAGGGATATTAGGGCAGTCTCTGAAATGATTCCAGGTTCCAATTCCTGCTCTGCCACTGTGTGACCTTGGGCAAATCATCCAACTTTTCTGGGCCTCCATTCCCTCATCTGTAAAATGGGAATAGCAGATCTACTTCACAGAGTTCTGGAGAGGACTGAATTAGCTAGAACATGTAGAGTGACTGGCACATGGAAAGCCCTGGATAAATGTTTGCAGTCACAAAACAGAAAATCAACTTGCCTTGTTATTCAAACAAGGCCCCAGATGTGGCTTTTGAAGAGGTACCCCTTCCAGATGCTGAGGAAAGTGAGACTTCAGTGGGCTTGAAGCTGCAGCTTGGTCCTGTCCCTCTGGTGCCATAACATCTCTAAAAACTGGCCAGCTGCACATAAAGTGGAGGGGCAAACAAACAAGAGGGGCGGGGCAAACCAGGCCTTCCCTTGGGGAACTATAGCCAAGTGTTTCTTCACCTCCAATTTACCATGTAACAGTTTGGTTGGCTCAGCTTTGGGGAAACAGTGTTCTTGTCAAAACACTCATCAAAAATATCCCAAATCTGAAGAGATAATTGGTGAGGAGGCCCAGTTTGGACTGATGGGAACTTCTTCTGCCAGGTTAGTGGGTCCAGTCGGCCTGACCAGGTTGGTGTCGCTATAGACGTCACCTCACGGCACCAAGCAACTTGTGCAGAATGACTGATGGGTGTTTACCTTCCCGGGGAAATTAAGCTAACACAACAGGAATGCTGATCAATGTATATTTTAAAAGAATGTGTATACAAACAAACTCCCTCCCATATGTTACTGGGTTTCCTCCAAAGAAAACAGATTAAATTAAATGCCTATCAGGCACTTGGCATTGTATCAGGCTGTGGGAATTCATGGCCCCTCTCTTAAGACATTTAAAATCAAGTTGAGAAGGCCAAACACAAGAGAGAAAAAAATTAGGCAGCAAAGCAAGGTATTTGTAATGAGAAGGAAAAAAAAAAGATACAGATAATGAGTATTTCAGAAGATGAAGGAAAAACCTGATCGCTTTAGGCTTAGGAGTCCTCAATGATGAGGTGGAGTTTAAGCAAAGCCAAAGCACAAAGACATAGCATTCAGTAAAGCTAAAAAACAGAAAGCAATCCAGGAAGGGGGTATAGTGTGAGCAAAGGTGTGGGGACAGGACTACACAGTGCACATTTGCAGTAGAGCAAGCAAAGGTTTGGGTAGAGTGGGGGATAAGTACACAGAAGACAGGATTAGAGACCTTCAGAAGAGGAAGGGGTTTTCCAGGTTGTCTAGTACAATCTCATTTTACAGACAAGGAAATGGAGTCTCAGAGAGATCAGGCAATTTACCCAAAGTCACACAGCTAGTTATCAGTGGGAGATCAGCTGAGGAAACAAACCTGTTAATATTCAATTTGAAATCTGATCTGAGAGTAAACTGACTGGCTACAGAGAGGCAAAATAGTGTGGTTCCCAACCACGAATGTTGGTGGAGGCCACAGGGGGTGTTCAATACATGTTCGCTGGTGAAATTGAGAAGATAACTGCTATATAATTTCAGGCAAGTTACTAGGTATTTCAGACTTTATTTTCTCCTCCTTCCCACTGCTCCTTCTCCAAGTGAATAAAAAATCTCAACTTGCCCAGTGGTGCATCCATACAGTGGGAAAATACAGTCCTCAGAGATAGAAGTCAAGGGGAGTCTCAAAGGATTTCAGGTCTCTGACCTCTCTGTGGTGTGTGTGGGTATGAAGGGCAGAAAACAAACCCCGTGTGGGTGGCAAGTGTGCTGGAGGGAAGGAGGACCTGTTTTTTTTCCTCTGTTCAAGCCCTATAACCTCTCATTTCTTTGAAGTTGTGAGAAATCAGGTGCTTTGTACATTTCCATTATAAAGGAGATAGAACTGAAAGGTTAAATGTCTCCGAGGTGAGTCAGGGATGGGGTAGGGGCCAGACCCCCACTTACCTCACCCAGGCAACTGAAGAGTAAGGAAGGGGGAACATCTTGGCACAAATCAGGAAAAAAGGTGGCTGGTGCTTTGTTACATAGCTAGGGGGATTATTACAAATAGATTTCTAGAAATTTCTTTCAGGCCATTTTGGGGGGGCGGTCACTAAGACATTCATAAAGCAGTTGGTATGGTGTTATGCATAAACCAGAAGCAATAAAAAATAATTAAAAAGCACAAAATTGTATCATTATTAAAACTGACATTGAAGAAGGCACAGAAAACCCACCTTGAGTAACTGGCCATCTCCAGTCCCCAGGAACAAAACAACTCTGTTCATCACCATGGTGCCATAAACAGATGTCAGGTCGGAATGGATCACGGTAGAAGATGCGATTGGTTGGACTTTCTCAGGTTGATCTTTCTGAATATGCACACAGATGCACAAATAAAAAGAAAAAAGATAATTTTTAACAGCGATAATTCTCATGATGATTAAACGTCACTTATGCCCACCTGGGAAGGTTCCTACTTGAGGCCAAAATATATTTTCTCAGACAAAGATCCCCAGGAACAACCTTTTATCTTTTTATCTGCAAAATCACCATGCTTGCTCGGCCCACGGAAAGCCATTTGTTTACTATGTATTAACATGTATTGATTGCCAGCAGTGAGCTAGCCATCCATTTAACACTCCTCCAGCTGATATATGAAACCGAGTTGTACTTTATTGCCAAGAGAGAGCCCACTACTGAATTGGGAGGGAGACAATCTTACACTTGGCTGTTTGCAGGATCCTGCTGCAATTTGTTTTAGCTAGGCATTGGCTTCTGCAAGGTTAAACAAGCCATTTCCCAAGATGTGAGACAGACCATCCTATTGGGCATGAAGGCAGGAGGAGGGATTCTGGATTTACAAGAAGGGTGCAATGTGAAGCCCAAAGTCAGGGTCATTAATTCAGAGGGCAAAGAGGGAAAGATACAGTCATGGACGGTGGGAAAGTCAGAGCCACAGAACTAAAGAGGAACTGAGCACAAGGGCTGGACCTGGTGCCGATGCTCATGAAGAGGAAACGAAGAACGTAACTCCCACCCAGAAGGTATTTAAATAGTCTGAGGCTTTGCGCACGTATAATCACATGCCTGCTCCTGATCATTAAAGAAAGCCCCTTTTTAATCCCAGAGCAGACAGAGTGTTGGCCAAAATGTCATTTTCTTTCTTGTTTAAAGGCATGAAGTATTTGATGCTGCTTCCTGCCTTTACTGGCAGAGAACTGAGTTTGTTACACAAATCTCTGGAAGATACGGAGCTAGCAAGCACCGTTGCCGTCTGCAGCTACTGAACACAGTGTGATAGCACACTGTATCTGCCAGAGCTCAGTTCCCAACTACACTAAGGTTTTCAAAGGCACATTTAAGTCTTAGCCAATGAGAGAGCTGGTAAACTTCAGAAAGCATCACCACAACTCCTAAAATTGCCCCATTTGGGGAGGGGGGAGGGGGGCAGGGGAAGCTAAGACTTATTATTAACTTCATTATATTATTGCCAACAGTGTTTATGTCTTTCAATTTATGTCTTATTAAATATTTATTATTTTTAAACCCATCAAGTTTCATTAACATCTACACTGAATGGATCCATGGGCTGAAGCCTTTAAAAGTGCCGCCTATCTCTCTTTGTTGAAGTTGCGCTGCGAGGAAGAGATAAGCTAGCAAGGATTTCCTCCAGTGCCACAATCACTTTTCAAGGAAAAGATGTCATAATCTGGGGAGAAAGTAACTTATTTGCATGAAATATCCCATAGTAAATTCAGTTTTAAAAGATTTTTTGAAAGCCCATTAGAGGGTGTGTTTTTTTACTGTTAAAACATACTTTTCATGCAATTGGGAGAGATGAGGACCTGTTCTGTTAAAAATGAAGAAAAAAAAATCTATGAATCAGAACATAGATCACTATTTAGATAAGGAAACCTTGTGACTATAAGCAGAAAAAAAAATCAGATGACCTTTAGACTAAAAAAAAGACAGCCCACACATACACCACACATCTCGCTTTAAAATAAAACCAGAATTGTTCAAACTTAACATCAGCCACCTATGCCTATTACTTTTATTAAATATTTGAGCAGCACAGAGAGGCTAACTCAGAGAACTGGGCATCATCTCTGCGCATCTGGTATATTCTAATGCCACTATCTCTGGCTAGAGAACTCCTTTCTCCTTCATCTCTTGACATAGAAAGAGGAATGACTGAGTAGGAATGGTCCATCCACAAGGACCAAATGGGACAATGTACTCCCATGTCTGATATACAGAAGGTACTTAATTAATGTAGCTATTCTGACTAGCCAAGAACCATGACACATCAAGGTGGCCTTCGCTGAGGTGGAATAAGATATTCTGTCTGTGAAAGATTGGCTCAAAATTAAATAAAATTAAAAAGAAGTAGCTCGAAAGCTGAAAGGAAACAAGATGAAAATTGCTTCCAAATTTCCATCTCAGCCTTTCTAGTGTCCTTCCCAAACTCCTGACTGTTCCCCAGTAGCTGCAGTTTTCAAAATGAAGTCCTGGATCAATAGCATAGGTAAGTAGTACAGCCATTAAATCAACGTTACCAAACTGGAGAGCTGGTAGCACAGAACAAAATGCCTGGGACTAGGGGTCAGAGAGGTTAGGATTGCACTAGACCCTGGTTCTCACCCACTGAGGGACTGGGGCAATTTATTCAACCCTGTTGGAGGCTGGCTTTCTCAGTTGTGCATGAGACTAATGAAGCCTGGTTAGTAGGGTGGTTACAATGATAGTAGCAATAATACCACGGTGATAAGTTTTAGCTGGTATTATCATTATCAGTAACATATACTTGTGTGCTACTTGGAGTATTTTGTTATCTTATCTAATAGGAGCAGTGTAGGGGAGTGAGCCAGACCTCCTGGATTTGAATCCTGGCTCTGTCACTTTCTAGCTAAGTAATTTGGGACACGTCATTTAACCTCTCTGCGACTCCATTTCCCCCGGTATACAATGGAAGTGATGGCAACGGGATTTATGCCATAGGCTTGTTACGAGGACTGAATGAGATAGTATGGAAGCCTCAGTAAAGCTTAGAATAGTGTCTGGCCCATAGTAACACACAATCTATGTTTGCTCTCATTACCTTATTTAAAAACACAAAGACTTCCTGCCATCTCCATGGCAGTATTCCCACCTTCTTCTTTGCCATGAGAACCATAATTCTGTTCAGGTAGCAATAAAACTGAGCCTGGGCAAACCATGACTGGGCCAAATCAAATGGTAATACCACTCCCCACTGCCACAAACTTGCTTTCTCCCACCCCTTGGAGCTAGGGGTGGCCTCATGGCCCAGTTCTGGCCAGTAAGTTATAAGAAATCCATTTGAGCCCGGCCGGGCGTGGCTCAGCAGTTGAGCATCGACCTGGGATCCAGGCGATCAGGGTTCAATTCCCGGTCAGGGCACATGCCCGGTTGTGGGCTTGATCAATGACTCGCTCATCATTGACGTTTCTGTCTCTCTCTCTCCCTCTCCTTTCCTCTCTCTGAAATCAATAAAGATATATTTAAAAAAAAAAAAAAAAAGAAAAGAAATCCATTTGAGGGGCTTCTGGGAATAAGTTTCCTCCTTGATAAGAGGAGGCTCTTAAGGTGAACCCATTGGCCCCTTCCCTGGCCTCCACCCTCTGAAATCAGTGGTGTGAGGCCATCTCCACAGAGCGGTGTCAGCCACTTTGTTTCCTTTACAGGCAAGGTAGAAGATGAAAACCGACAGCTGAGATTGGTGCAGGGGACAAAAAAAGGCCCTAGGTTCTTGAGGACGTGACTGAGTACAGACTTCCAACCTTTAAACTTTTGACTAAGTTAACGATCGCTGTCATGGTCTAAGCTGCTCTTGGTTAGGTTTTCTGTTACCTGCAACCGAAAGCAATTCCCGGTGCAAGCAAGGAGAGTGGTGGCTAGTTGGCCCTGGCACTGCTCCCCAGCTCTCCCTCCGCTGCGAGGCCCAGGGGCCGGGACGGTGCTGTCCCCTCTCCCTTGAGGCCGCTGGCCAGTCTGGACTCTGGAGCCAATTACAACAGTGAGCCTGGGGGAAAATAGGAAAGCCCGGGCTTGGACCTCCCGTAAGCCCTAAGGGCTGCTGCGGCTGAATGGAAATGGATTCTTTTGTGCTGGAAACACACAGAAATGGACAGGTCCCCATGAATGGAAAAAGGAGCCCTCTGAATGGCTTTCTTATGCTCGTTTCAGCAAATGAAAACAAAAGAACAGCCCCAGAGAAACCTCACAAAAGTGAAGTTAATACCTAGGGAGCTGAGCGGGGAAAGGGGGGGAATAGTACAGTCGCTCCTGTGTCCAGAGACTGTTCTTACTTTTTTTTTGGCCTATTTTCTATTTTGCCCTTCTATCCCCTTAGAGCATAATCGCTAATGTTGCTCTCAGCCTATTCTGTCTAGTTTATTATGTGTAATTTATTTCTGAATCCCAGCCTCTGCTTGTTCGTCTGTGTGTAACAAGGTTAATGCCTTGTAATGATGCTTTTGCCAGTTCTGCCTTTCATGACAAAATCCAATCTTGATTTAACTCTAAACCTTGTCTCCCCTTTGGGCTTTCCCGGTTCCCTCAGAGTTGTCGCTCTGCTTCTCCTGCCTGCCATGTCTAACCAGAGCCTCACGCCTACACTGCAGCCCGTTCTGAGATGGAAACTTTCTTCAGTTTGCAGAAAAAGCTACCTTGTCTCTAACGATGCTTGGGCTGAAAAAAGATAGAGCCTTGGGCCTGATATGCCAAAGTGGAAGCGAGGCTGCTGAGAATGGGTGAGTGCTGGCGTGCATGCATGCATGCGTGCGTGTGCACATGTGTGGGTGTGAGCGAGCACACAGAGAGTAGTGGGCATATGTAAGGGAAACAGCCTGACCTCCTTCATGCCATGTTTCGTTGACAATGACCACCCGCAGTGTGCGCTGCACAAGTCCAGGTGGAGGCAGTCATGCATTCTAGGGCGTGAACGGTGCCCTCCAGAGTTGAGTAACACTGTGGCCCAGCGCCCACCACGTGAAAGCTGGCCTGACCCACCAAGGCTCACAGCNGCAGCGTGTTCACAGCCACACTGCAGCTACTGTGGGAGCAGCTGGAGGAAATGTGCCCAAGGGTAGGGCCTCAAGTGCCGGGAACCCAGCAAGAGTCAAGTCATTTACCTCCAAGGTGCTAGAAGGATTCTCTTATTTTGGTTTTTCCTTATGGGGCAAGGGCAAATACTAACCAGGTGCCTATGAACTTCTTACACACCGATAAAAAGCCTCTTGGGCAGCTAATTTTGTATTCTGCTACCCTTTGGCATTCACTTTCTTTGAAACAGTTTCTTCATTCTTCCTAAATTACTAACCCCGGGGCGCGCTTGCAGGTAGGAAAC